TTTTTCGGGTAGGGGTTTCAAGGCCGCCGCCCCCCTTTTGCCCCCCCGGGGCCGCTCGTAACCCCCCCCCCCCCCCCCCACAGGGCGAAGCCAAGCTCATCCTGGTCATCAACATCTTCTTCCCGGGCATCGGCACCATGATTTCCGCGTGCCTCAGCCCGCACTGCTCGTGCGACACCATCATGGTCGGCTTGCTGCAGCTGCTGCTGGCCGTCACCATCGTCGGCTGGGTCTGGGCCATCTGGTGGTCGGCCAAGCTCGTCGGGACGACCAGCCACGGAGCCCGCGCAACCCACGGCGAGTCCAAGGCCTAATTCGTTTTACATGTCCCCTATTAAAAATTACCAAAACCTACCACCGCGTCCGCGACACGAAAAGCCCCACACTTGCTGCCCCCTACCCAAAAAAAAATGCCCCTAGCTTCCACCCCAAACTTCTCTCTCTCTTTCTCTCTCTCTCTCTCGCTCACTCTCTATTTTTTTTTGCGGTCCTTGTCCGTCCGGCAGTAGGCGTCGGTGCCCGTGCCGAACGTGTTGCAGAAGCACCCGTTCTTAGGGTCCTCCAGCAGCGGCTGCCAGATCACGCAGCCGTACAGCTTTTCGCACAGTTCATCCCAGTTCTCGACGACGTCGCACACCCCGTCGCCGGTGCCCTTCCACCGTTCCTGCTTGACGGCCATCTCCTTGATGCCCAAGAACCGCTGCATGTTGGTGTTGAACGTCTCGCGGTCCTCGAGGTATTCCTCGTACGGCGCCTCCCAAACGCACCCGCGCGCGTCGTCCATTACCCGCACGGCCTCCGTCACCGTGTTTGTCCAGTCCAGCTGCCCGCGCAGCCGCGCGTAGAACGAGTCCACGTCGATGTGATGCTTGCATCCCTTGCCCATCTGGCACCGCTCCTCTATCGACACGTTCTTCTTCATGCCGCCCACGTTGACGTTGTCGCCGCCGGCCACCTCGTACTTGATGTAGCTGGTCAGCGCGCTCTTGAGCGTGTTCTTCCGGTACTGCCAAAACAGGTGGGTGTCGTACTCGCGCGCGAGGGCGGCCCACTCCTCGCGCATGGCGAGGATGTGCTTGGGGCGGATCTTGAAGCCCGGGATCTTGCCCATGGCGATGCCCTCGTCGAAGAAGCGGCGGACGTGCGCGAGGGCCTCCGTGGTGTTGTCGTAGCCCGGCAGGTCGACCATCTCCAGCACGTCCATGTGGACGTCCGGGTGGTTGCGCAGGTCGAGCGAGATGGCGGTGGACGCCGAGTTGCCCATAAAGACTATGAGGAAGGTCTTGGCGCGCGGCACGACGCCGTCGGCGTTGGGCTTGGCGCAGCGCGGCAGCGGTTTCGCCTTGCGCTCCGTGGACACGCGCACGCGCGGCGGGGGGCACGAGGCGACCGGCAGCATGTGCGATCCCAGGTTGAAGAGAAGGCCGAACAGGAGCAGCGCTAGGCCAGCCAGGGCCATGACGAAGCACAGCGGGCGCGAGGCCGAGTGAGATTTATGCAGAGCCATGGCGGGGTTTGCGGGCGGCGTACCGATGGACAGGGCGTCGCAGGGAGGGGGTGACGGGGGGGGGGGGAGTGGGGGGGTGGTGGTGAGGAGGGGCCGGCGGACGACGGGGGGGGATGGGGGATGCTGGTAAACGGGCAACAGGGAGTGTAGCGCGGCCTTTAAGTGGGAAGGAAAAGGGGCCATTACAGGGGAAACGGAGATTGGACATCGCTTCCAGGACAGCATCTTTCCATAAACGGGCGGACGTCAGGATGACATCTCGTTCCGCCACTTGGCATTTATTCAACACGTGGAGCGCGTGTGTCGCGCGCATTGGGCGAGCATTCCGAGTGGTGCAGCCGTGCCCCGCCGTGGGCCGTCCAAGTGGCCGGACTCCCCAATTCTGCCTACGCCAGCAATGACTATTGCACCACAAAGCCTGACACCGGACCAAAAACGGAATGCCGCCCAGTGTCCAGCACATCTTACAGTGTCAGCCCGTCTCACCCATCTTACAGTACTGTACAACTTCACAAACTTACGCACCTACGCCCCGCCGCCCCCCCACACCTCCTCCACCACCCCCGCCAACCGAACCGCCCTGCCCACCCCGCCCTCCGCGTACGGCTTGACCCCGCCCGCAAACCTCACCATGTCATCGTCTGCGTGCCACATCGCCACCACCCTTGCGCCGCCGGCGCGGACCGGCACGGCCATGACCGTGCTCACGCCGCCTTCGGCGCACATGCTTGCCCACTCGTCGCCGCCGCGTCTGGCGTCGGCCACCCACAAGGGCTGCCCGGCCTCGGCGGC